ATTTGAACACGCAGGAGAAACAAAGGAATCAAATCACTGAAATGTTGACATTAAAATTAATAGTGGAACAATTGTTTCTTTTCTAGGCATTTTGTAGAAAGATATTCCTTCCTCGTCATGGATTTCCTGGATTACTGCGATACCCACCATTACACGTGGCTACAGAGCTTGAAGAACTTTTAGAAGCAGAATGTACTAAATACACCAGCACTGGAGAAAAAGCATCAGAGACACGATTCTACACGAAATTGAAATTATTGTTGGATAAATCTTTACTCAAAATGTAAAATTTACAGTGTTTTCATAAAGACTTTGGCAGGCCAATTTTTTTTTAGTAATCATTTTGCACCTCGTTGAGAGTTCACTTAACTAGGAATGAATTATCACACTAAAAAGGGCATTTATTTTTGATGAATTTTTAAAACTAAATACAACGTTCTAGTTCTGTTATCAGTACAGTTATTTTATTTAGGATGTTGCTGTAGTTTTTTGCTCCATTCTAAAATGAGCCTCAACACTAGCAAAATGAATGAGATTGTACATGCCCTCCAAATAACTACATGTATGCATGATCTGAAGAGGGGCATATACAAATGAGATGGGAGGGGATGGATTAGATATGGGGGGGGGGGGGTTCCATGGGTTTTTGTAATAATCCGTCTAACAAAATATGCAAAAGAAATGTATTTCAACTTTTTTTTTAATAAACTCTGGATTGTTGGCATCAAAAGTTATATAAAAATAGTTGTAAATCTAAACAGTTAATACAATAGTAAAATATTAGCAATGAGCTTCCAAGTTCTCGTTCCACACATGAATAAAATGACAACACCTGCATTCACACAATTACAATGACGTGCAATATTGGACAATACACTGGGAGCGTAATGATGTGGAACTGTCGGGGATCATCAACGAGGCACATTCAAATAATTTTAGAGAATTATTTTTAGAGAATGATGGTGTTAATCCCAGCTGTGTCAAGATTGTACTCAAGTATATATCTAATAAGATAAATGTCTAACTACTTCTATAGTGCATCTTAGAGCGATATACACGCGATGTCAGGCACACAAGATGCATCATGGGAGTGCCGCCATATTGCAGGCTCTATTACACCTTAATTTTATCACCTCAGTGCGATAGCATGGATTCCCTTCCCTTTAGTTGTAAAATGTGGCATGAACAATTCATAATACATTTTTCTGAATAAAAGTTCTGAATAGTGAAACTATGGAAGGCTGACAATGTTTCACTTCTAAGTTGAGATCACCATTTTTGATGAATCTTTAAGGTCTTCGAAAAATTGTCTTTAATTATTTAAGGTTAACAAATATTGATGCAACAAATTCATTGGAATTACAATTGAGATGGTGGAACAAGAACATGGAGCTCAGAAATTACATTAAAAGGTCCAATTAAGAATTACAAAAATATTGCATTATTTGGATATTTTGATTGCATATACAAATTTGACAAACGCTGGAATTGAGTAAAATTGGTTAAACACAATTAGCTTCTAAATCTACAGAAACAATCTAAAAAGTTGTCTACAATGGAAAGTATACAATGAAACCATTGATGGTTTTTTTTTTTATGTAAAATTTATATTTCAGTCAAGATAGGAAACTAGTCACTGCTTATCTACAGATTTCAATGAAGCTCATCTGCTGCAAAACCACTTGATCCAAAACCAGAAATAACCAACCCTGTTAATTCACTTCAGTAAAGCTCTTCAATAAAATTCATCTTAAAATTACAATACAACTTACAGGCAGTGTTAAGTTGCCAATAATGATCAATAAACACTTTTCTGTGGTGACTGATCAAAACAATTACAATGTTACGACGGCCTCCTCCTGTAACCTATTTATGTCCTGCAAATTGTCAGTTTACAGAAAGTGTGTACTGAATCAAACCAATGACCAATCAGTTATGAAACAAAAATTTCCTGAGAAAAAAGCTTTCATCTAGAATCCACCAATTAGAAGATACTCGTACAATATAGCATCTGTTTATGCATTACGATTGGATGAAATACATGCATGTTAGTATGCTAATTACACACCCATATTTGGTTTTTGAATCCAGCTCAAAAAACATCAGGGAACGGTTACCAGCTGATTAAGTCAATTTTAATGTCTTGTTCATGCATGGGTGGATAATCTTCAGGTTCCAATTATTTCCTTTGTTTCACTATTTCATTAATCTTGTCTGTAATAGTATTCATATCAGTCTTTTTGTCAATCTTAACGTAGGTGGTTTTCCGGATTTTAAATATTGATAACCATTGTGGTAACACTTCAGACATCACATCCAAATGCTTTTCCATTTGAGCTGTACAGGAAAAATAATTAACAATATTAAAACATTGGATTGATTCCTCGAGAACAGCAATGTACTTGGCTCCAAAAAAATGCTGAAAGTGGGTGATCCAAAGCGACTGCAAAAGAGAAAGATTTCAACAGTCTGTAGCATTCATTATAATGCAAGACTAGTTTTTGTTAATTTAAAACTGTTGATGAAAATGATCTATTTTCTGACAAGGAAAGATCATTACACAAGTTAGAGAATGATAAGAACAATTAATCCAAAGTTTAGAGAAGTGCGGGATAAAAGGGGAGCTGTATGTGGAATATTTTACCACACTCAAACTGTTAAATAGAAGTTGTTGTTTTATGTGAATAGTCATTTCAAAATATTCTAATTACTACATCAATTAGATTCTGACTTGCAATTAAAAAAAGTAACTTACCAACAGATATACACGACTTGTAGCTTTCTACCAACTTGCTTGTGGCCGATTCAATGGGTATTGCAGCTTTCTTTTCAGCTAGAAAAAAACTTCAAAACATGTCAAGGAGGCCAACTAATAAAAGGCAAATGCTTAGGTTTAACACAATGTAAAAGTTTGTGTATGACTTGTTTTTTAACACCCAAAAGTAAAAGAATGTTAAAGCACAAGTTTCATGTAAACTATGCATTTAACATGTGTATACTACACACATGGGATCCATGTCAAGCAGTGTGCTACCTAGTGCTATTTGTACTTGTAACCCGTGTGGTATTATTATATGTACTGCGCCCTCTATTGGTGCGTATGCTCATGAATAGTAATGAGGCTATTTGACCCTTGCCCCAACTCCCGCCTGAACGAAAGTGATCCTGCCGCACATCTAGTTCACGCGCTGCCAGAAATTCTTCTTTTGTGTTATATGTGAACTTTGTTGGTCCTTGGGTGCTTTATAATCATTTCAGGTATGTACTGATCTTGTACATTTCAGAGTTTTAGATTGATGAGTAATATTTTACTGTAATTTTGATTTTTTTGTATTCAACGGTGCAGCAAACCTGTGTGTATT